TTTTGGGGTCCAAGGAATCGGACTGTGGAGAAGACTTCATTGTTGAATAGGTGACAAGGTCGTTGATATTTGATCCTTGGGCGGTTATCTAGTGATAACGCTTATGTGCGAACGTTATATGAGAACAAAATCCAGCCATCCAAATTATCTGAACGGCTAAAGAGAAAAAGCAAGCTTACGGTAAAAACGGGTAGGCTGCATTTCCCCTAAGCCTAAGTGTCAAGTCACGCCTGTCGCGCCTTTCTTGTCAATAAATTGATGAATTTATGAATTTATGAATCAACCCTAAACACCCAAAATACCTACCAGACATAAATTTGTGTATTTCTCTTGTCACAGAAACTCCCTGGTGTACTATGTCTCTTTCGCTTCCTCCCTCATCTAATATTTCTCATTTGAACGTCTGAAAAGATACATTTCTCTCGAATTCCCTCTCTTTCATTCATATTAAAGTTTGCATGTTATATTGCATTCAGTTAATGTTTAAATCACTTAATGTTTAAATAATGTTTAGGATTTTAGGGCATTGATTTTCTGGGTAAGAGTAGTCTATCTCTGGTGTAGGATTTGAGGCTTTAATTTTCTGGGTAGGAGTACTCTGTCTCTGTAGTAGTTGTGTTTGCAAAAATATAAATTGGCTTCAGTTGTTTTTTTGCGTCTTTTTCTAGTTTCTAGTAATTTGTTGAAGCATAGTAACTAATTTTTAAAGTTTCTCTGCGGTTTAAATATTATTTACTTTTTCCAAAAGTTGGGTTGTCTTTTTATTGCAATTTGTTGTGGTAATTTGTTGAAGTGTAGATTCACAGCTGTTGGTTGTTCCTATTTTTTTTGCATTGTGCTTGCTTGTTGTCTTTTCTTAAAATTCCAGGAACCTTCATGTGTTGGTCATTGTAATCCTGCGTTGCCCATCTAGTGGTGTAAGTGTATGGCATCATTTTAGGGATTTAATGGGGTTTGGAAAACAAAGAATAAGTACCATTAGAAGTAGAACGCAAAAGAGAAAACTGAATCTTACCTGTGAATATGAGATGATTTGGGATGCAAAAGGATCAATGCATCTTGTAGTAGGTATCAATTCTGTATGTTAATGTGTTGAAAATAGTGTTGGTAGGTATCAGTTCTGTATGTGAATGTGTTGAAAATAGTGTTTGTAGGTGAAAATTATGCATCTTAATGAGTTGAGAATAGTGTATCAGTTTTGCATCTTAATATGTTAAAAATAGTGTTAGTAGGTATCCATTATGTATCTAAATGTTTGAAAATAGTATTTGTAGGTATTAATTAGGTATGTTAATGAGTTGAAAATAATGTATCAGTTTGCATGTTAATATGTTGAAAATAGTGTTAGTAGGTATCCATTATGTATGTGAATGTGTTGAAAATAGTGTTTGTAGGTATTCATTATGTATCTTAATGTCATGAAGATGTGTAGATAATATTGTGAGCAGGTATCACTTCTGTTTCTTAAGCAAAAGGTGTTTGTTGCAGTTATAAAATGGAATCTGGGTTTGAACTTTGTTTCCCGGAGTCAGAGGTCTATGCTGCACGGGTGAATAATTTGTGTGTGGCAAATTCAGTCCTGTGTAATTTTGGGGCGCATTTCAGTGAGTCGCTTATGAAAAGAGCTGTTTTGGGCACCTGTTGGGCCTCCATAAAATTCCATTTAGTGGTCAAATTGTGCATGCTCTGGCACTCCGGCGAGTCGGAGGACTTGGTGTTAAGGACATGCTGGGCCTTAGTTATGTAATAGGGTCCAATGTTGCTCAATTCAGTCTAAAGGATTTTTGTTTGATAAGTGGTCTGAAATGTGGAACAGAGCTTGACATAACGTCCGGGGGGGATGCTCATAATCAATTTATGAAAGCGCATTTTACTAACAGGGGTCACATTACTTGTAATGACTTAGAAAATGCATTCCTAAAGTCCGAAAAAGGAAGCGAGGACTTGTTCAAATTGGGACTGCTGTATTTTGTGGAGTTTGTGATAATGGGTAAATTCCAAAATGTGAAGATAAACGAGGAGTACTTACATTTGGTTCATAAAATGGATGAATTCAACAATTATCCGTGGGGATCTATATCTTTTGAGTATCTGCAAGATTCTCTGTTGTTTGCTCCCGGGAAGAAAGAGAGTGATGAAGAGAATGATGGGAAGGGAAAAGGACATAAAAAAGGAAAAAAGGCGGTGCGGAGTTCAGTGAGAAAAAGGAAGAAAAACGTGGAAGATGAGAAGCCTAAAAGAATTAACAGACCTGGATGGAGTATAAAGGGATTGAGCTATGCTCTACAGGTATGATGTAGTTCAAAATTAGTGCATGTAAAATTTTAGTTCGTAATTAAGTACTGCCTTTGATAATCTATTTGTTGTAGATTTGGGTGTATGAATTAATTGCTGAATTGGGAATTCCTCCCCTTAGATATTGTAAGCGGATCGAGGAACCTACATTAGTCCCTCGAATTTACCTGTGGGAATCCACGGATAAAGTGCCTGAGTTTAGAAAGCTGAACGCTTATATATTTCAAAGCAAACAGGTGTGTAGTTAATAATTTATTTCAGTACTATGTTCGTTTCATGTGGAAAACTGTTTAGTATTGTGTATGACCTGTTAACTCTATGTGTTTGATAGCTTGTTATACTGCGCCTCTTACGACCAAGTCAATTGGAGATGAGCCAACTGTATTGGAGTTGGGGATCAGATGTTCCCGAATGTGATGCACCTAGTGTAGCTCCGCGGGTATGTAAGGACCTTGATGAGTTAAACTTTGTTGTGCAGCAGTTGAGGAATGAGGTTGCAGTATTGCACCGTGAGAAGGGTCAGCTAGAGGAGAGAGTTTTCCGCTTGGAAAGTGTACCAGTCATGCAGACGCGAGGAAGACTGGGGATGCTGATAAGTTCATAATTTCATACATTCGCATGACTTCTTTACTTAGTGACTTTGCTTAGTTTCTCTTTATTTTGAGTCACTTACCTCTTTTTGTTTGTTTTGTAGGTTAAGACTGCATGAGATCACATTTGATGCAATCCATGCTTGTTAAGGGCTGATTGGGACAAGAGGAATATGAGCTTAAAGACAAACCCAATTTGGGCCACACTCCTTGTCAGTCCAGTTTCGTGGGTCATCTTGCAGTCCTCATTTCAGCAACTTACACAGTCGGATGAGGAGACATCCTTGATAGAAGTTGTTCTAATGGGTGTCTATTATCACATATCCATATTTCAGCCCAATTGGATAAATCTGGAGCCCTCAGCATGTCAAAGACTTAACCAAGTTCACAGAAATGTCACGTTGGCTGCCATCACATTTAAATGTGTCTACATCCCTAGAGCCATGTGCTAAGTATGGGCAGCCACACATGGGAGTGAAATCAGCTCAGAAACTCAGAAGGATGAACAAAAGTCAAGTTTTCCATTAAAAACCCATACCAAAGCATGTATTTGGCAGCTAGAGCAGGTGGCAAGTACGGACATTTGGAGCAGGTGGCAAGTATGGGCTGCTGGAGTTGTTGGGAGCAGCTAAGAGAGGTGTGCTTCACCAGCCAAAGGGGAGGACAAAATTTCACTCTACAAATAGAGGGCTGCACACTTATTCAAAGAGATAGAGAGTCAGATACACATTTTCACTTCACCCATTACTCTCATACACAAATTCAGATTCACCACAAAGAGAGAAGAGAGCTTG